GGGGGGGGGGGCAGAACTTCCCACTGCCCCAGGGATCTCCCAGGGGGGCTAGTGTGACCTTAGTCTCTGCCCTCCCCAGCACCTGGCCCCGCCTACTCCCAGCCCAGCTGGGGCAAACCAGCTGCCAGGCTGGTCCTCTCCCAGCCAGCAGGTGTGCAGGGGAGCCCTCTTCCTACCTCCTTCCCTGCAGTTCCTATCTCTGAAACGGGCTCAGCCTGGATGGGGGACTAGAAAAGCTGGCTCCCATGCCAGGCATCAGGTGACACAGCCTGTACTCCAGAGCTAGGGGTCCTTCTTGGGCTCCAGCCTCGTGGGGCTGAGCCAGGAGCTAGGACCTGGGATCCTTCCCAAGTGGCTGGGGGCTGCCACGTGCTGGTGTGTTTGTATCTGGGCAGGAGGAGGAGGGGTCTGGGAGAGAGGAGGGCCGAATGGGGTGCTCAGAGGAGCTCAAGCCTTCGAAGCATAGCCACCGCCTGTCTGCCTGTCTGCCTGTCTGCCTGTCTGCCTGTCTGCCGGGGGTTTCTGAGCTGAGGCCTTGGCAGGAGGGGAATTCCAGCCTCAAACTTCCTGTCTCAGCTGCTGCTGGGTTCCTGCCCTGCCACCCCCTCCCCCAGGGCAGGCAGGCTAGCCCCCACCATATGCAAATCGTGGGGAAATTCACCTCCGTTTCCTTCTAAGGGAATTTTTCTCCACCAGCCAGGCCAGGCTAAGCCTGGGCAGATCTGTTCACCTGGAGAACCTGGCCCAGCCCTGCCCTCCGCTTCCCGGGCCAGGAGCGGCCAGCCGGAGTCTGACACACTCCGTGGCTCTTATCAGTGGCTGGTTAGCCAGGCTCCAGGGCGGGGGAGGGAAGCCGCCTGGTTTTCCTGTGCCAGCCCAGCTTCCTGCACTGCAGGCCGCAGCTTCCCTACGGCACTCCCCCTGGTGCCGTAGGGAAGGCAGACTTGTCCGAGGTGTCCGACATCCAGAGGTCATCCACTGCCCTGGGAGCCCTGGGAGCCCAGGCATCCCGTTGGGTCCCGAGGCCTAGGTGGGCAGGTGGGTGCGTGTGCAGACTGCACCTGGGTGGGGGACCAAGCCAGGGATGACCGTGCACCCCGGCTTTAGAGAGACAGCAGGCCCAGGGGAGAGGGTGTGGGGCACGAGGGCATGAGGACACAGCCCATGAAGCTCACCCACTCAGCTGGAGGTCTGGGAGGGCTTCACAGGGGTGGTGACACCTTACGTGAGTTCTAAAGGGAGGGCAGGAGTTTCCCAGATGCACCGCTTCTCCATTTCCCAGCCCGCCCCTCTTTACTATCCTGTGATCAGACTCAAGTTTAGGAGGTTTTGGTTTTCTCCCAAATAAACTAGGGCTCTCCTGTGAGGGGCAGGAAGGCCCAATGGCCCCAGACCTGAGTTCGCTTGCTCTGTGACACACTAGTCAGGTGACCTGGGACGCGTCCCAGCCCGGCACTCGTCTGTGTAGGCTGCCTGCTGCAGCAAGCCATCAGGAAGAAGCAGCAACCCCAACGCGTGCGGTCCCCACAGTCCCTGCTCCCCGCCCAAGATCTGCGCACAGGCCCAGGCTCTGTCTCTTCTGTGTTGCTGCTGTGTGACCCTGGCAACTTCTTACCCTCTCTGGACCACAGTGTCTCATCTAAAAAAGGGGAATGATAGTCCCCTCTTCACAGGCTTGGTGATGACACGGTGTGTAGCCGTTCACAGCCTCCCGTAAACTGGGGGCGGCACAGTGACGATGAATGCTGCCTCAGGGCGGACTTTGACTCCGGGTTCTTCTACAAAGACCTTCAGACCCTGGAGCCCCAGCCTCTGCGCCCCTCGCTGCCCCACCTCCCTCTCCACCTTCAGTAGGGGCTCCAGCTGTCTTCCCCCTAAGCCACCCACAGGATGTGGTCGGCCCTGGACTTGCCTCTTTTGCGTAACATTTATTCGATTTTATTTGCCAAATGTGAGCCTCTGAGTCGTTCACGGAGGGGCAGTGAGAGGCAGGGGCTGTGGGGAAGGAGTCCTTCCATGACTCCTAGGGTTACCTTGGACCCAGCCTCAAACCCTGCCCCCTGGGCCCTCCTCCCCCACCTCAGGAAGTCCAGTTGGAACCTCCTCTTTGCTGGGGCGTCTTGGACCTCCAACCAGCAGGGTGTCTCACTGACATAGGCCTCTCTTAAGGAGGCTAGAGGCTGCTGGGCCCATTTTGCAGAGAACAAAACAGAGCTAGGGCAGGCTCTGTAAAGCCAGCTTCTGGATCCGGCCACGCTTGAGTGGGGCGAGGTCTGGTCTCCGGCCTGGGCAGGGTGGAGGGCCCGCTCCTAGCCCTGCTGCTGAGGTCGCCCTGGGCATATTTCTGCCTCTGCCTCCCTCCAGCCGCTGGGGGTGGGGGCTGGGCGCAGGGGTGGTGCAGGCGTTTTGGGGAATTGGCCACCCTGGGAGGAAGAGGCATCCTTTCGCTTTCAAGCTGAAAGGCACCCGAGGAGCCGCCTCCACTCTGTGGCCATTCCTTGTCCCACAGTGACGATCTGGATGGGGCCCCTTCCCCTTCGCCCTCCTCAGGTCCCAGCCCCTGCGGTTTTGCGCCTGGACTGAACTTTAATCCGGAACAATCTGGTTTCTCTTCTGTTAGCCTGACTGGTGCTTTCCCTGCCCCTCCCGCGGCCGCCAGCCCAGCGGGAGGGGCCGTGACTCAGTCTGAGTGTACATCTGGGTCCTCGTGGTCCCCGCAGCTCTGGGCGGGGCAGGAACCAGAAATCTCTGGGTGCCTTCCCCCACCCCCAGGTGTGTTGCAAGCAGCGGACCCTTCCCCCCACCATGGGGAGCGGGTGCTTCCAGATTCCTGGGTGTTTCCTCACCTTCGGGAGATGGAACCTTGGGGAAAGTCCCGACCAGCCTGGCCTTCCAGGCACCTGGGACCCAGCACAGGGATGGGGTCCACCTGCAGAGGTAGACCCTCCCTCCTACTCAGGCCTGGGGTAGCAGCTGGCCACCCTGTGGCTGACTCTGTCCCTCCTGTCCCTCCCAGCCACGGGAACAAGGAGGTCTTCTCCTGCCGGGGCATTCTGCTTGCAGTGAACTGGTTTCTGGAGCGCGGCCACACAGACATCACGGTGTTTGTGCCATCCTGGAGGAAGGAGCAGCCGCGGCCCGATGTGCCCATCACAGGTGAGCACCAGGCCTGCAGGCCAGGTGGCCTCGCTGTGCCAGGAGCCCTGGTTCTCGCCACCAGAGGCCCTTCGGGTTTGCTCAACAACTTCTAGGCTTTAAGCGGGAACATTTCCGTTCCTGACTTTTGCTGTCCTTGGCAGTCCTGCTTTGAGCAATGGTCATCTGAGGTCATCTTGTCTAGCCCTCTGCCTCAGATACTGGGCACCTCCCTCATCCTGCTGGTGGGTGGGTCCCTTTTTCGATCCCCAGCAGCAGAGGGGCAGGAGAACATGGTGGGTAGGCTTATGGGCTCTAGACTGAGACACCCAGCATTGGAATCCCAGCTCTGGCCCTTCCGGCTCTGGACAAGGACCTTCCTTGGCCCTGCTCTGAGCCTCGCTCCTCGCCCGATCTGCGCATTAACATTGAACCGGGTTAGAGGAGTACCTGGCACGGGGTGAAGCTCCGGCTGTGTTAGCTGGTACCAACTTTGTGGGTAAAACCTGAGCCGGTTTCACTAAAGGTCCTGGTACCTGGGGACAGGCCAGCTGGGGCTATGGGCTCCAGGAAGAGTGGCCCCTTCCAAATGAGGCCTGGTGACCTTGTCCTCCTGGCTCTGCGAGGGACGGAGCCAAGACACCTGCCTACCTCAGCTTAAGCTGGTGCTTACTCATCGCCCCCCTCCAGACAGGCTGGACGAATGGCCAGAGTCAGACCATAGCTGGCGTGAGAAGCCTTCCGTCCAGGGGGAACCTCTGTGCTTGGGTCTTTGTTGAGCGGGACCTGCACGCAGTGCTCAGGTGTTCTCGGTCTCCGGGCAGCAAACTGCATAGCCAGGCAGTAGCCTCAGCAAAGCTGGTTCCCGCCCCCACGGACTTGAGACTGCCAGCCCCTGTGCCGGGCCACCAGGAGGCTAGGGAGCCTGTGGGCCTGGTCCTGTCCCAGCTGGGCCCTGACCTGCACCTGTCACCCCCCAGACCAGCACATCCTACGGGAACTGGAGAAGAAGAAGATCCTGGTGTTCACACCGTCGCGGCGTGTGGGCGGCAAGCGCGTGGTGTGCTACGACGACCGCTTCATCGTGAAGCTGGCCTTCGAGTCTGACGGCATCGTGGTCTCCAACGACACCTACCGGGACCTGCAGGGCGAGCGGCAGGAGTGGAAGCGCTTCATCGAGGAGCGATTGCTCATGTACTCCTTCGTCAACGACAAGTATGTCCCCACGTGACACGCCAAGGACCTGCCAGCTTAGGGAAGCCAGAGATGTCCCTGGGAGAGGTGGGCCCGGGGGGGTGGTCCCTACTGGCCCTGTGCCATGTAGCCCTGGGCAGCTTTGGGAGTGAGAGGATGACCTAAGCCATGTCAGGCTGGCCAGGGGCCTTCGGGACGGAGCAGTGGCATTTGTGATAGGATGCGGTCAGTGGTTCCAAGATAGCCTCGCCACTCCCAGCACGGCACCTAGGAGCGGAAGCTGTAGGCCGTGGATCTGGCTACCCAGAGAGCTCCTGGCATGGGAGTTGCTCTGAAGCCCATGGGCTGTGACCTTCTGCACTAGGGTCCCCTGTCCTCCCTTGAGTGCCCCCCCCCCCACCGTGAGCACAGCACAGTTCTGGAATGTCCTACCACACAGGTAGTTCCAGGAGCCACTGTCCTGTTCCCAGCCAGGCCTCTGTCCTCCATGGTGAGAGGCCCCTGCATTTCCCACCTCCTGACAGTCCTTCGCCCTCTGCAGGTTCATGCCGCCTGATGACCCCCTGGGCCGGCACGGGCCCAGCCTGGACAACTTTCTGCGTAAGAAGCCACTGGCAGGCGAGCACCGGAAG